CTCGGCCCCGCCCGGCACCCCTCGGCCCCGCTCGGCCGCGCTCCCTCAGCCACCGCCATGGCCCGCAAGAAGCTGCACCGGCCCATCGCCGCCATGGCCAAGAAGATCCGCGAGTACCGCGCGCTGAAGGAGCGCCCGCGGGACTCTCAGCGCTTCGCCCTGGACTATGAGACCATGCGGCGGCCGCTGACGCAGAAGCGGCTGCCGGTGCGGGCCTGGGAGGACGTGCGGAACGAGAACCGGCTTTTCGCGCTGCTCTGCCGCCTGCCACGCTTCGGCGTGGGCCGCACCGTCACCCGCAAGTCCTGGCTGTGGGCGCACGACGAGCCCTGCTACTGGGTCATCACCAAGGTGAAGGCGGACTACACGGCCGAGGTACCCGCCCTGCCCCATCCCCGCCCCCCGGGGCCCCCGCCCGCCGCGCCCTGCCCTCAGCGCGATCCGCTTTTCTTTGCAGAACATGGACCATGGAAGAGCCTGGGGCTACCTAACCTTCAGAGGTGAGACCGGCTGGTTTTCCCACCCACGTGGAGAGCACCGGGAGGGCAGCAGGAAAAACGGCGGCCTCTCCCAGTCTGGGGAATTTGTGGGTTTTTTTCAGATCTGCTAATGGGAAAAGAAGTTCCCCCTTGTTTAAGTTTCAAAAGCTGGGATCTAGCTCCCTCGGAATGTCTTTCTGAGGAGTGCTGTGGGAGAGCCAGTGCAAGATGACCCTGGGGAACAGCAGCACTAACAGTGCTAGATGAGCTGACAGACTGTTCTGAGACTTTGAAAGCAAGACACAGAATGAGCACAGGGGGGTGGTCCGGGTAAAACTGTCACTAAGAAGCTGCAGTGGCAAGCAGCTTATGTTACTGGAATTTTTAATTAATGCTTGGAGTTGAATGAGTGGATTTCCCTTTTTAGAGCTGTTTTATATTACGTATACAATTGTCTCTTACAGGAGTTACTGAAATAGTTCTCATTCAAAGGTTTTGAAGTTGTTGGGCACTTATAACACTCAGTTTTCCAGAGAACTTTCATCAGTGTAGAGAGAAATTACTCTTGTTCCTTAGCCATGGAAACGGAACCCGAGAGAGATGAAATGGCACTTTAAATTAAGAGAGGGAGTCACCCACAGTACTGGAACAACTTGCCTGTAGTCCTTTCAGCCTGTTTCTGTTTTGATTTCCAATGACAGAAGCGAGATCCCATAGTATAGCAGGGGAGATCCTGTCCAATCCTTTGAAAACTCCATTTACTCTTACTGTTGTAGCATTTCGGGTGCCGAAGAGTTGACACTTGCTGGGTTTCCTGGAAGGAGTTCGTTGTGACGGTGTTGCCCACTGGTGTTCCTCATCTTTTCCCAGGCAAAACTGAAGAGGAAGTGAGAGAGATTGACAAAGTCATGTACCATGACTGGCGTATGGTGCCCAAGCACGAGGAGGAGGCCTTCAAGAAATTCACCCCAGTGCCTGAGGAGACTGTTCGGTTCCTCCCGTACCCGCCGCTGCTCCGAGCCATGATCCTTGCCCAGTGGCAGAAGGAGGGAAAACCAATCACAGAGGAGCCAGTTATTGATCTGCAGAAGGTCCTGGCCACTCCCCGAGAACGGGCAAAGAAAAAAGCTACAGGGACACCTGTATAAAGACTTTTTCTGTGTCCCGAGCTTCCTACATGCCTCTCACTGCCTGTAGGAAGCCCAATGCATGGGGACGTTACAGAGACCCCTGTGCCCACCATGGTAGGGTGTAGCCAGGTTCCCTGGCTTTCTCCCCAGCCCTGTACAGTCACCTCATCTCAAAGGGAAGATGTAGATATATTCAGACTCCTTTTCCATAACATTGGTCTCAGTCAGCAGAGGAACCTTCTTGGTTCCCTGAGTAGTCTCTGAATACACAGCTCCTGTCAGCCAGCTGCAATTCTTTGGAGCATAGTTTTCTTTACAGCCTGAAAATTAATCTTTTGACAACATTTTTTAGATAATTTGGGTCTTGCATGAATCACAGGGAAATGACTAATAATATCACAGTATTTCACAGAGCTGTGAAGAAATGTATCTGCAAATGAAAATAAATGTTGTCTTAATTCTGCAGCACAGTTCTAAGAAAACTTGAGAATTTTTTTCAATGCCTGGAGATTATCATCTGCAGAGCCATTAGCTTACCAAACACAGGCACAGCATCAGGTTCTCTGAACACTGTTAGAACACTCTAACACTTGCTTAGGATGGCAGTGCACATGAGGAGCACAGTTGGATAGTAAGCTAATCCAAAGCTATCCATCCACAGCTACTCCAGAGATGGCTGTTGAGAGATAGGAGAAATTATTTTAGTTTTGGTGATGCAAAGGATGCATGATTGACTTTTACCATTTGAATCAGCCAATCACAAATGACTCCTGTTTCAGAGCAGCATGTTGTGAATGTTAAAACATGCAGCTCCTGAGCACAGTTCCTGGCAGTTCATCTTCTCTTGCTGGCTGTGGATGCTGCTGCTGCGTCAGGGGTTGTTTGGAGGGTCTGGTCTGGATGTGGATAGATGGGGCACAGGAGCTGTTCTGGTCTGTAGATCAACTCCCTGCACAGAAGTAACTGCTTAGTTCCTGTGTCTGCTGTAGCAGATAGTCAGGAGGTGGTGTTCCATTTGCTGCAGCATCCCAAAATCACAATTAGCCTGAGAGGATTTAGGGAGGGAGAGCACAAACTGGACTCTGCTCCACCCAGTGTGCCCTGGATGGGACGGGGGAATGTGTGGCCCCAGCCAGCAGGAAATAGCTGCCATCAGGTAGGAGCACGGTATCGACATCAGTGACCTGGATTCCCACAGGGTTCCCCACCAGAGGCTCCTGAAGGATTAAGGTGCTATAGGATAAGAGGGAAGGCCTTTCTTGTGAGTTAAAGCCAGTCCTGTGACAAGGTGTAGAGGCTGGGAAGAGCTGAGCCCCTGTAGTGGCAGGGCATGTGCCAGGGCTAGTTCTCTGGCTTTGGAGGGAATGGGAGAATCCAGGGAAGGGAGAATCCAGAGCATTGCCACAGACAAAGAGTTTGAGACTGTGAGCCTTCCCACAACTGTGGCTGGAAGGCAGCTTGGCTGGTTCTCAGAGCCTCCAGTGTCAGGCACTGTGCTGAGCTGGTGGCTCCCTGTCCTCACCAGGATGGAGGTGCTACAGAACTGACACACAAACTGAGGATGAGCAAGGAGGGAGAGAGCTGTGGGTGTGAGTTAGATGGCATGAGTAGAACAGTCTAGTCCTCTCTACCGCACAACTGGGATCTGAACAGAGCCCTAGAACAGGCTCCCCCTGAGGGAGCACAGGCCCACAGAGTCTGCCCACAGTGGGCAGAGCCAAGTCTGGTCGCAGCATCCCCAGCAGCCCCAGACAAGGCAAGAAGTAGCCATGACCAGGGTATACCAGGGAGTCAAGCCAGGAGCAAAAGCAGATAGAGCTGATGCACCATAAGGCGTAGAGGCATCCAACAGTTTGGGTGGGGAGGGACCTCTGAAGATGATCTAGTTGAGCCCCTCCAAGTCCAAGGGGTCCATCCAGGAACAGCTGGGACAGACACAGCTACAGGCGTATTGAAGGCCCCAGCTCATGTTTAAATGAGGCTCCTGGGCCATAGGAGGAAAGGGCCTCTGTTACAGCTGGCAGTCTAAGTGGTGCTGACCAGGACAGTCATGTCCTGCTGGTGACCTTAACACCTGGGGGAAGGGTGTCCTCTCACAGAACCCTGGGCAGCCTGAGAGCCTTGCCCACTGGTGAAGGTCCCTTCCAGGAAGCTGCACAGCCCATTTGCCACTGGTTGGATTCCACACCCAGAACATGCTGTGAGCTTTGTTGGACTTCCCAAACCTGTACAGTTACCTCTCAGATCATTTACCAGTATGGGGGGGTGGTGTCTGATGGCAGTGACCTGCTTCCTCACCCACCCTGGTGGGTACCAGACATGTCTGCACTTCACCTAGAGCCCTGCTCAAACTGCTCCTGGCCTTATTCAAGGGTGCAGCCCCAGGAGTGCAGGACTGGTCCCAGCACCTGTTTCCAAACTTCGTGGTTGAGATGCCTTCACTAATGCTGGAGGCATTGCCAGTTGTATGACACCCTGGCCTGTGCTGCCCCACAGTGTAGGTGTTGGTCATGGATGAGACTCACTTCAGGGCCCCCTGCTCAGGGCAGAACATGCTCCTGTTGTAAGGAGGTGGCTCCCTTGTACACTGCCACGTACAGCCCTTGAACTAACATGGTTCTACACAATAAATATGGAAGTGTCCCAAGTGCTGCTGGGGCTGAGAAGCTCCCTCCTCCGTGTCTGCTGCAGATGCCTAAGGGACTGTGAAGTGCCACCCTGTACCGTGTTGAAAGCTGACCTGATGTGTTTAACCCTGGCAGTTCACCTGAAGGGGCCACCCTGACAGAAGCTGCAGCAAGCCAGCAGATGGATGCTTCTCTGCTCTTATATTTCTGAAGTTGTTCCACCTTTAATTTCCACCTTTTATTTCTGCCGCTGGCAGAAGCTACAGACTGCATTTGGCTTGCTGGACCAGCCCCTTCTGCTGTGACCCTGTGAGCCATCCACACCTCATTTCTTGCCCCTAAACTGCTCAACAAAGTGAACACTTCAGCTGCATTCCCACCCTTTTTAAGTGTCCCACTCTTAAAGACTGAGAAGCCATCCCAGTGCTTTCACAGGAACGCAATGCACTGCCCAAGCTGATGTTAACACGTTTATTACATACAGAACAGATATGGTTTGTTGTTGATAGCAAAGGGGACAAAGCATGGGAACGTATTCATACAGCAGGCTCTTTACAGAATGCCATCTTCAGACCAAACAGCGGAGTTTACAGGCCTTGAGACACTTTTTAAAATCCTTTTGTAACATACAAGATACTTTACATACATCACAGTGGAGATATGACAGGGAAGTGTGCTGAAGCCAGTCAGTTCTCACCTTGATGCCCAGCAGCCACCCAAGGCTGCAGGAGCTGCCAGCAGAGGCTGGGTCTCCCCCCTGGAGCTGCCCCTCTGGGCCATGTGCTTCTCTTGGAGGAAAACATGCACCCAGCTGGAAAGGAACCTCGTGGTAGAGGCCCCAGACTGATTTCCTCATGTTGCCAGAGCCCAGTGGGTGACAGGAGACCAAGTGCTGTCCCTTCAACTGCTCAAACCAGATACAGAACAAACAGTCAGAGGTACAAATGTTACAATTCTGATTTTCCTACAAAAGAGTTGACAGAGTGAAGGAACTGGACTCTACCAGGGCTATTTTCTTTTTTTTTTCCCCTTCAACTAGTCCAAATTCTGAAGTTTATCTGGCCCTAATTGATGAACTGTTACATGACAGTGGAATCTGTGCTTTAAATGTTATATTCTTAACTTCAACGCACTCTGTGTTGGGACCCAAAGAGCTCTTCCTAGCAGAAAGCATATGGGGAAAGTGAATGAGAAGCCTGGCACGGTCAGCAGTGCCCCAGTGAAATGTCCCTGGTGAAAGGTCCCCCCAAATGCAGATGGTGACTCCAGGTATCCCTTAACCCAGTGCCAGCCACAGAGCCCAGTGTGCCGATGCCTGGAAGACTCCCTCCGGCTGGATTCCTGCCTTAGGGAGGACTGGTGTGGGTGTGTGTCACCAGCACTGCTCAGGCAGTGTGAGCACCACTGCAGCTGGCTGAGGCCTCTATCCACCAGAGATGTTGCTTGCCTCCTTGCAGGGGCAATGTATGCCCCAGCCTTTCCTGAACTGTGGATCCAAAATTCGTTTCAGTGCTGCTGCATCAGCAGAGATGCCACGTATTAGAGCATCACCTGGGAACATGGCATCCCTGCAGCAGAGCAGGAGCTTTAGACCACAAGCCTTGTGAACAGCCTGGTCCATGGCAGCAAGCACAGGACACAGCTGTGAGCTTTCTGGGAGATGGAGGCTTGCCCAGCTGTCCCTATACTGTCATAAGGATGTCCCTCTGAACCCCAGAGTGCTGCACAGCTCAGGGAAGAAACAAGATGACCACCAGGAGCTTCCAAATTCATCACTAACAACTGTGACTTGCCCTAGTCCTGCACATTCAGAAGGGAGTCCTCTGGGGACACGGAACTTGTCCTTGTGGGATGGGACTGTTTCTGCTGACAGAAAGGGGGAACACACCATTGCCTCTACACCTGGAGCTGCCACATTCTGCACCTTGAGCTCAAAACCACTCTCCCTGGCCCCGTTTTTTTGCACATCTGCCATCGCCCAGCAGTGCTTACACAGGGAGGGCTGTCACCACTTCTCTTAGGGGCTGTCAATTTTTTCAGGAGTCAGAAATTTCCAGCTTTTTAAACTACTTACTAACACAGTTAGTGTTAGATAAAAGATGCTGGGAAATCTGTTCTCAATTCCTTTTTCTATGTGACTTCAGGTGAGACACAGCCTTTCTATACCTTGACTGCACATCCAGTCTTTCCTAACTGACAGCCGATCTGTTTTCCTGTGAAAACAGAGATCTCCTTCCAGCAGTTCCTGGAAAGCGGACATAGCCTTGAGTCAAAGCAATGTCAATGTGTTAATGCAGAATTCACAGCAGATCACCACCATCTGCCCTCACATATGTTTTAAAAGCCACCAAATGCAATGCAGAGATAACTTTCTTCTGAACCTTTCAGAACCAACTCGGAAGTTCTTTACTGCCTGGCATTTTTGGAAGGGGGAGTTAGGTGTTGCCTTTTCTGGTCTTGAAAAAGCAATGTTCCAGTACCCCTTTGCTACCACAGCCATGTGGCCTCCACAATCAAACACCCATTTGCCATCTGAGGCCACCAAACAATCCTCTTGGGACGCACACAGGCACACAGCACACAACTGCTGAGACAACAGCAGCAGCAGAGGAGAGGACCTTCCCACTGCAAGGATGGAGGATGTGAACCCCACAGTAATGGTGCTGCTGCCTCCTCCAGCCCAGCAGCAGAAGGGCTGCCCAAACCATGATGCTCCTTTCTACTGAGGCCTCCTTGGACCTATCTGCTCTCAGTCCATGGGATGTTATTCTGTACTTAAGGGTGGATAAGGTGGAGAGTCCACTGGTGAACTAGAAGGGATCTCTGCTGGGGTGCTGTAGAAG